TTTCAGCAATGTTTAAGGGACCTTCACATACCCCGTCCACCGATAGACGCTCCAAAAATGTTTTTCTTGCTACTCAAAGCCCCTCTAACTAATCGGAAATGATTAAATAATTAATTTGCCAATTATTTAACCACTCTCATATCTCTACTCTCGTCCGAGACTTGATCCGAGACTGCTTTCAGCAATGTTTAAGGGACCCTCAATTACCCTTTCTACCTACATTGTGTCCACAAAGGATTTTCAACTTATCTAATGCACCCTCAATTAATAAACAAATTGATTTGTGAAGGCATAAACAACTCTCGGATGCACTCTCGGACGAGAGTCTTTACTGGAGTTTGGCGCCCTAACCTCCGAAAATCCGAGAGTCGAATGAGTGTCCATTCCGAGTGTCGGAGCTACTCTCGGATAGNAGACTGATCCACCAGGGAAATTACCGAGAGTTGATGGGTAACGGAGAATTGTGTGTGGAATAAACAAAATATTGAAATAACTCTCGTTGGATTTGTTCAACGGTTATTCTTGATTATTATGACTGCTGATTGACATTGCGGAATGTACATAAACATCAATCAGCAACAATGTTCCGTGACATATTGAGTGCGATAACCATCATTGATATTGTTTAATACTTAATTTTGTCAGTGACAACAATGTTGCATCGTTCCTACAATTTTTTGTCGTCAGCCCGTAGTAAATTCAATTATTACCATCTCGATCAATTGTTTACATTGAGGATATTCGTGGCAAAGCGACACGCAAGTATTTTAATAACCCCGAGAAATGGAAACTGTTATAAATTACGATTGCCCAGGGAGAGCAAACGAATCTGTCATAAGGAGGCGAATTTTTTTGATGCGAGATGGCCTTATCTCAGTATTACTAGAGAATCAGGGGATGATAGCAAAGCGAAGAATCAGGAGATACCCAAATTAGTGAAGGAATTGAAGCAAACTCTGCAGCAGAAAATTGTTGAATTGGATGGTGGAGAAAAACTTGGGAAACTCAGGGAGAGAATTTTGGAAGTTGAACCTGTTATTTTGACGAAAAAAGCTGAGACTATTGGTGATAAAATTGAGGGGAAGATTGAGGGATGCAAGGAGATTGGGAAGAAAGAGGAGGCTATCAAGAAAGGTTTGTAAACATGAGGATTAATTTTTTTCTTGAAAGAGTCAGTTTTGAAAAAATATATCAAAGGAGATTTTTTTTAGATTCCCATTTAAAAAAAACATTTTGAGCTGCTTTGCAAGAAATCCCCCAAGTCCACTCTTTTAAAAGATAACTTTTATTGAACAAAAATTTCTTAAAAAGTTTTTTAACATTTTTTTGGAAACCTGGCCAAAGAAATGCCATTTTAAATATAATTATCTATTATCCAAAAATATTAGTGTATTCACATTTTCTTGAAATAAGTGATTATGCAGGAAATTAATTGTTGATAGAACTACTCTTTCGTCAGATTTCTATTTATCGAGGAAAACAATATATTATTTAATAATATAGCTAAAATACATTGTTAAAAATATATATTTCTAGAAAAAGGTGAGAAAAGGTGTAGAGAAAGGTTTGTAGACATGAGGATTAATTTTTTTTTGAAAGGTTGGATTTTGGAAACAAATAAATGAGATTTTTTATAGATTACAATTTTTTTTTCAAAAACTTTTGTGCTTCTTTGGAAGAAATGAATCCCCTGAATCCACTCTTCTAAAAGATACCTTTTTATTGAATAAAAATTTGAAGAGTTTCCTTTTTGTAGAATAACAAATTTTTTCTTAAAAGGTTTTTGGACATTGTTTTGTAAACCTAGTCATTTCAAATACAATTATGTATTACCCAAAAATATTTGTGTGTTCACATTTCCTTGAAATAAGTGATTATGCAGGGAATTATTTTTTTATAGAACTAATTTTTCCTCAGATATCTATTTATCGAACAAAAAAACGTATATTTCTTTTTAGATTTTCATTGAAGTATCATTTAGAGAATGGGAGATATTAGAAAGAATATGAAGAAACTGTTTTGGAAAACCAGAAAATTTTGTTCAGAAGACGTCTCTTGATTTTGTAAAACGAGACTTTTCTCATACCCATCATAATATAATCACCCATAAAAAATCAAAGAATGAAAATAAAAATTGTAAATTCAAAACGAAACAATGTTTTTATCACTTTTCGAATTTTTCTACAAATAATGTCTTCTGACAAATTGTGCTAGACTCTATAGTTCCTGAAGTATCTGGACTCATCATTTTTTAAATTAATTGAACACTGAACTCCATTCTTCATTACAACTTAATATGACTCAAATTAATTAATAAGCAGAATGATTAAATTAATTAATTGTCACTGCATTTTGGAGATGATTTTCACCTTCATTTTGATTTGCTTTCAGCCAAAAGACGAGTGGATCACTCAGCTTCATCCCTAGAAAGGAACTTTATCACTCCAGTTCGTGCAATGACAGATTTTTTACTGAAGCCAACGGATTTGGAGTCTCTTCCAAAAACAAAACGAAGATCACCTTATGAAGACAAACCCCCAATCACCGTTTACTGGAGAAAAGATGTCGAAGCTAAGTAAGCTGGTTTGTTTCTCCCTGCGTCCATTATTTCTACGAAAGTAATTTTATCAATCCGATGTTTCATTCAGGGTATATGAAATTATGCTATTTATTTTAGGGCTATAGAAGTCTGGGGCTCGAGGGAAACCCTGCTGAAGGAGTTACTGAAGAAAGAACTTGAATTAAAAACTCATCAACAAAGTAAATTGACAAAAAAATTAGATGGGATTTGTAGATAAAGGGTGAAATAGATTGAATCCTCTTAACTCATTGTCCTCGATGACGAAATAATTATTAAAAGTTTTTGTATTGGATTTCTATTGAATTTTCTATTAGTTTTTGGACGATTCCATTGGAAAATTCTGCAGCTTCAATGGAAAACAGAAAGAATCAGTAGAATTCGATATTTCTATACAACTTATTCTATTGAAATATTTTTCATTGAAATTTTTTCAATTTTTTCGTTAAAATTTTTGAATGGAAAGAAAAGAAAAAAATTGAGTGGAAACATTCTAGAAAATTCGTGTCGAGGAATTTCGATAAAAAAGTTCTCAAGAGAAAAAGTTGTTTGAAAGTTGAAATTCTGCTGCTTTTGCCCATAAAATAGTATCTATTGTGATTTTTTTAAAATTACCCGCAATAAGGCTGCGGAATTCTTCACTACACTGAGCGAAAAACAAGACTGGATTGAGAACTTGTTCGTTTTTCTCTCAGTATAGAATCGGCATAGAATCGGAAAACTAATAGAATTTTGCATAGACATTCAAAAGAAATCCAATAGAATTTTCTATCGAATTAATACTGTTTTTCGACAAAATCGTTTTGTGCGATTTATCTTGATGATTACGTGACGGGAAAAATTTCATACAAATAACTCTTGCTATTCTCTCTGAAAAGAACTTCTCGTTCTTTTCCGAGAGAATGACAAAATAAATTACTCATGAAGATTTCACGACTGATTCTACTCGTTTGACCCTTTCACTACTGAAATTACTCTTCTGATTTGATTTCTGTGGATTTTAATAATCGAATGAATGACTATTTACAGATGTTTTCACAGTCAAAAGACGACTACGTGATTACAGACGAGAACTAGGTAATAAACCAGAGACCATTGATAACGAGAATGAAGGTCTCTTCGGCAGGTCCGGAAGAGTAGTTTTAACAGCTGTAGTAATGTAAATACCTCAATTCACTTAATTTGGAAAGCAGAGAAAATTATTGGTGTCTTTTCACAATTACTTTCATCTATTTGTTTTTATCTGTTTGCAGAAACGCTAGTAATTTTTTATTCAAACTTGTCGCCTGGGTGTACACTGGCTCCCACAGTATGTTTTCGGAGTGTATACATTCCGCTGCTGATACATTTAATCAACTGATATTGGCTTATGGTATTCACAAATCAGTTCAGGTAAGATACTGCATAAAAAATGATGCGATACTCATGCATTGGATTAATTCAACGTTTTCAATCGAAGGAAGGCACTTCATCCAATTTTATATCATTTTAAAGCTAAAAGTGTCTTGTGAATAGTGCGAAGTTTGTGGAAAAAATTTGATACAAAAACAGATTTCGATCAAATTTCTATTACAAATTCCATCAGTGTTTCATCGATTTTATAGAAAAAATCAATAGGATTAGGTTCTTTGATAGAACTTTGTCCATTGGGACATTTTCTATAGAATTTCCTCGACATAAATTTTCTACGTTTTGTTCACTCAATTTTTTTCTCGGCTCATTAAAAAAGTCGAACAAAGAAACTTAGAAAATTTACGCCGACGAGTTTCTCTGCGATCGTTTGTAGTTGATTGAAGAATTGAAATTTTTTCAATCAGAATTCAAATAAGCGTTCAAGCGATTTTTCAACGCCAAGTAGGAATTCATTGATAGTCATAGCCAAAATGATATCACATTGACGTTTCATAATATTCTAAATTTCTAAATTTCTAATATTCTAAATTTGCAATCAAAATTAGAAAATCGAAAAATCGGTCAAATACAAGATCTTCCTTTGGAAGCAGAAACGATCTTAAAAGCTATCCATTAGAAGTTTCAATTAGGGGAGAGTGGGGCAAAATGAAACAGTCGAAAAAAAGACTGTTTGACACAATGCAAGCAAATAAAAACTTTTTTGTCAACTTTTTGTAAGCTTTTTTTAAACTTTTTTTCATTTTAAGTTTTGTTTATTAACTTTTACCTTTATTTTTATGATTGAGAGTACTGATTACAATAATAATTTTCTATTCCATCGAATGCAAAACTATTGAGAAGTTTTTGGGAGAAGATTTTGTCAATGGGTTAATTGAAATGACAATGGCCCAGGGGAAGACCCAGAGGAAGAAAAAAGAAAATGTGATGTTGAATTTCAGTCGAATGAAAAAAAAGTGTAATCGCCCTAATCTAATCAATTGGATTATAGATAAAATATTTCATATCACGTGAAAAGAGAACTGTGGATAAAATTAGTGAAAATTATTAATATTGTTGTCTCCATATAAGAAATATATGAAAAACCTTCGGGAGTTTCGAATGAGAAGAGAACATAGACTCAGTGATGACGAGGTCTTAGTTTGGCTGCTGGAGAGTTAGGGGACAAGCTAACTAATGGACGTTGAGATCGATATCTAACAGGGGAGTGGGATTCATCTGTGGAGATAGTCGTGCCCTATAAAGGAGTTTCCAATATCAGTAATTTTTCCGCACCGAATGTTCTTTTCTACCGAGTAGAAAATTATTACTCTCATCAGTACTCTCAATAATAAAAAAAGCTAATAAATAAAAATTACTAAAAAAATGTTGATAAAAAACAATTTTTTTTACTTGAATTACGTAAAATAGTCGCTTTTTAGCTGTTTCATTCTTTCACTCTCCCCTACCACAAATGAATGCATGTCTTTTCAACTAGGCGACATTTCAACTAACGACTTTTCAACTACCACTTTTTCAACTAGTTACATTTTGACTACGACATTCCAATTACTAGAATTAAAATACACGACCAAAATATGATATTCTCAGTAAATCAATCCCGAATTTCCTTCAAATGTCAACTATCAAACAGATAAGATGGAAAACAGGCTTTGCAAAATTAAAAAGGTTCACATCCTTCGAAAAACATTCTTCGAATAAACAAAAAACAAGATTGTAAATAGATTATTTGTAAGTTTTTGATTAAAAATATTTACATGATATTTATTATTAAATTACATTGATTGTATGTTGGATTGTATGTTCCTAAAAGTGTGTTTAAAAGAAAACCAAAAAAGTAAATAAATGAAAATGAAAAGTTAAAAATTTTGGCAAATTCAACAAAACTGCAGTAATTAAAAAAGAAAGCAATTGAAATGTCGTAGTTTAAAATTACAGTTGAAATGTCGTAGTTGAAAAGACGCCTAGTTGAAAAGATGTGATACTACCAAAAATTCCATGAAATTTAGTGCATTCCGTATCATCAGTAAGGATAATTATCACTAACTAAAGATTTACCATTCTTCTTGCAGAATCCAAATGCAGATCATCCTTACGGCTACACAAACATGAAATACGTCTCCTCATTAATATCAGGCGTTGGAATTTTTTGCGTTGGCACTGGCCTCTCGATTTACCACGGAATCCATGGGATTCTCTTTCCAGATCCTGTGGAGTCATTCTACTGGGCCTATTTCATTCTCGGAGGCTCCTTGGTGTCTGAAGGAGCGACTCTCCTGGTGGCGATTAATTCAGTGAGGAAAGGAGCTGAGGAGAAACGTCAGTCGTTCAAGGACTACGTCCTCTCTGGACAAGATCCTTCGGTCAATGTTGTACTTATGGAGGATTTAGCTGCAGTTATGGGGGTGACAGTTGCTGGGTGCTGCATGGGACTGACTTCTTACCTAGGAAATCCAGTCTTTGATGCTGTTGGATCGTTGCTCGTTGGAGGCCTTCTCGGGGGCGTTGCTTCATTCATTATTTATACCAATGTTGCTGCTCTCATTGGGAGGAGCATTCCACAGGAGAGTCTTGATAAAATTAATGCTGAACTGGAGTCTGATGTTATGGTGAGCATTTTGGAATATAATGAAAGATAAAACATGTTCTGTTACAATTTTTTTTAATTAAAAAATCATGAGTTTAAAAATTACCAAGAATAAAAAATCCCAAGCTGAACATTTGAAGTGTCCTGAGATGAAAAATTTTTGTCCCAAAATAAATGTAGCCATTCCAAAAAATTGTTCAAGAGAAATCCAAATACTTAAAATACTTAAAATGGAAACGTGTCAATTCATCTTACTTGTTAATTTTGCATTTTTCTGGAGAAAGAGTGATCTCTGATCTGATAATAGCCTGAATCATTGCTTGTTCCCTAAATAAATTACATTTGTGAAGTGAATCAGCTCAAATGGATATTCTTCTCCCATTAATGATGGAATTATTCCGCCAATCATTGCATATATTTTGTTCCAATTGTGTACAAATAAACATGCTATTGATATGTTAATCATTTTGTATAAATGAGCTTGCTGTGAATATAAAAGGGAAAATAACAGAGATTTTGGGGAAAAATTTTTTGGTCGAAATTCTTGGTTGGAATTCGATCCGGAATTTTTGTACATTTTTCTCATGATTGCTCTTATCTATTCTATTTGTAGGTTCGAGCTATTTATGATGTCAAAGGAATAGACATGGGAAACAGTCTCGTTCGATACAAAGCAGAAATTGATTTCGATGGACGAGAATTAACGAGGGCTTATCTTGATAAGCATGACCTGAATACAATGCTCGAGGTAGTTAATTTTTCCTTCACATCATCCGTCACGTTCTCTCCAAACTGAAATCGTTATTTAAGGATCGGGTACTACCTTTCGTACGTCATCTCAATTGTTTTTTTTTTTATATTGATAATCTGCAATGTTGACCAAATGCCATTTATTTTTGCATAGCCCTGGAATCTCCAAAAATTATGATTGTAGGATAAAAGAACGTTAAAAAAATTGGAAAATGGATGTTCTAGAAAAGTTGAAAATATTGAGGTGTTTTTTTTTATTGCAGGAATTTTCAAAAATCAGGGTGTTAAATTTTTTCTTATTCTGCCCGGGAGAAGCCGGGCCACATAGCGAGTCAATCAGAATTTGAAATTAAATTGCTCAACTGGATGAAAAAAATTGTTTTAGAAAACCGGAAAATTCCTTAGAATTTTTTAAAAAACACGAAAACGATTTTATAGAAAACACGAAAATTGCCTTTAATTTTCTTCAGAAAATTCAAGAGTTCTCTCGAATTCTCTGTGAACTCAAAGGCTTTTCTCGAACTTTCTATAAAAACGGAGAATATCCTCAAACTTCGTAGAAATCTCAAAAATAACCTTGATACCTCGAGAATATTTTAGAATTTTCCAGAAAGTTCCGGAATTTTCCAAAATGCTCTAGAATTTTCTAGAAATTTTTACGCTGCATACTAAAATTATGCATCGTAGTGCAATAACTTACAGCCTAAAGCCGATTGGGGCCCCTAAACTATACAATAGTAAAAATACCATTTAAATCCATTCAGTGGTTTTTACGGGAATCGCGGCGAAAGAATGAGCAACAAATTTATTACATTCAAGATAATTAAAATGGAAAAATAATAGAGATGACGTTTGCAAGGTAATCCATCCAGGAATTAATTTTTAAAAACTGTCTTTTTATATTTATAGGACGTGAAAAAAATGCAGAGCATTGATGAACTAGAGATATTTTTACTGAAGCACGGGGAGAATATCGTTGATATGCTGGGTGGTGAAATCGATAGGATTGAATTGAAGCTGAAGGTAAATATTAGCTATTACTGTACCACTGGGGTGATAAAAAATAACCAGTAAATTTTCCTCAATTATTTTTTATTTCTATTGTTAACAATTTAATTATCTTGGTATTGACTCGTGTCAAACGATATTTTTTGTTGAACATTTTAACAGTTACAAAAAAGTTTGTCGACATTTATTTAAAAAAGAATTTTCAAGGTAAATCTGATCAATGATACAATACAACTTGATTCATTGTTTTTTTAATGATTTCACGACAGATTTAATGAAAGTCAATTGATTTCTTTTTTTTCTTACAGAAAAATCATCCAGAAATTCGGCACTGTGATCTCGAGGTTCTTTGAACCCTTATAATTACTTATCTATAACGAAACTACTGTAAATAAACTATACGATAATTATTAATTGTTGGGAAAATGATAATTCTGCACTTGATAATTCTACAGCGCTTCGATACCAGAGAGATCGAAGACTTTCAACAGTTGAAGATAAAGCTGTTCATGACTTTTCATATTTATTGAAATTGAAAAACAATTTTTTTGAATCTTCATGGATTTTTCTTATGTAAATGATTATCCTGATTTGCGTGGAAGATCCACAATAAAAATTCCTCGAATGCTGAGAAGAAAAATCTCGTTTTTTTATGTACCAAACACATGAGAATGATTTGCATTTTCGCTGGATGTTTAAGATTCAATATTTAGTAAAGATAAAAACGCGGTTTGAAGTTCATGGAACAATGACATGCATTGTCCTCAAAGATTTGAAATGCGAAAAGAATGAGCTGGAGGGAATTGTCAACAGGTAAGGGTCGAAGTAGAAATTACGTCAGTGTCATTATTCAATTGCTGACTAATTGATAAAAACTAATGAGTAATTATTTTTGTCTTTATTATATTCCTCGCGGGCTAGGCCCCCTGCTCGCTTCACTCGCCAACCCCCATGATCCTTATTCTGATCTTTGGGACCCTTAGTTTCTGACCCCCATGAGCCTTATTTGGACCCTTAATCTGACCTTTGTAATCTTTAATCGAACTCTTAGGACCATCATTTGGATCCCTAATCTGATCTTCATTATAACCCTTGTGACCCTTATTTTGACCCTGGTGACCCTTATTCTAACCCTCATAACCTTTAATCTGACCCTCACGACCCTTAATTTCGGAATCCCAGTTTCGAATACTACATTTTTATCACCAGAAGTCGATTTGGATTTTTATAATAAGAACGATAGCTGTTTTTGCTAATCAGAAATCGGTAAAATCGTAATGTGGGAATACAATTTTCCCCATTATAAACTAATTAATAATTTTGAATAAATTTGCATCAGTAAAATTCATATTCTGTATTCCATTATCAGTCAGTATTGGTGATTACTGGGATAATAGTTTATCAGTTTTAAAAATTTAGGCGAGAATGGGGCAAAATGAAACAGTCGAAAAACAACTGTTTGACGCAATTCAAGGAAAACAAAATTTCTTTTATCAACTTTTTTTTATTATTGGGAGTACAACGATTATTTTTTCAGTCATTTCTATTTTTTTTCAGACAAATTTTCATTTTTGTTATTTTCATTTTAGTTATGAATTGGTCGGAATCGATATTTCTTTCGAATTATCTGCAACAGTAGAATTCCAAAATCAATTGAAAACTTGAATTTGTCAGTAGAAATCCAATAGATTTTCGCAGCGAATATTCTCAGATTTTCTATCAATTTTCCCGTGTGGTTTTCTAGAATGATAATGTTTGATTGATAGATCATCTCAAATTTCTACTAGAATTCTATAAATCTTAGAAGAGAACAACAAATTTTGAAGTTAAAAAATTTCAAAAAATTTTAATTGGAAAAACCATCAATTAATTCCAGATTTGATTACTTCACTCGGATAATTGTTAACTACCTTAGAAGGTTTTCCAGTGTCAGCACTGTGAAGAAGTAAATTAAAATTCTCATAAAATTATTCTGTGGAATTCGTATATGTACGAGCTCTACAGAAATGCACCAAAAAATCTATCCACTAAGAACTTAAAACTTTTCATAAAAAGAAACTGGATTGCCCAATTCAATTTACTGCTAAGCGAGATCGATGCTGAACATATGTGGGACTCAAACTGTCCTAACTACTGGCGGGGTTGCAAGGAGGTCTTGGTAGAAAAACTTACTATTTTTTACAGACTTAGAGACTTAAAAAAGGCAGCTGGATCGACCAGTGCGCAATTGGCCATACCTAGAGCTCCCTCCGACAAAACCGCCGGTTGTCTGTTGATCCGTGCCCCATGGGCTTCCATACGAACCATGATCCAATTTAGATTGTCAAATTCCCGTTTCAGTTCGATCTCGCTAGCTGGAAAGTTTTATAAATTGCTCCCAAATGATCTCTGTCAAATTTGTAACTTGAATGAACCCGAAACCTTTACTCATGTTCTACTCCGCTGTCCTTTTTATGTAATTCCGCGCAAATTCTGGTTTAGCGACCTTTGTAATGTCAGCGGACTTGTCATAAATGATGACGTGCAAACAAGAGCCCTGGTCGAATATTTTGACTCAGACCTCCATCATGGAGATATTTTGAAAAAACTACATTGTTTCTTGAAAATTGCTATGAAAATAAGGGATTTTCACTTAGAATACTAATTAGTAAAGCGGTAAATAGTTCATTAAACTTAAACTTAAAAAATAATAATAATTATAATAATAAAAAACAATCTAGCAGCTTCCTGTGACTTCCTGCGATTGTACGGCTATTGGAATATATCATACTGTAAATGATGTAAACCCCCCCCCCCTGCTATAGGCCGTTGTTCCCTGCAGAGCAGGTATTGTAATAAATAAATAAATAAAATAAATATATGTAGGAACACATAATAAGTCATATCTATATCTGACATTTCGGCTGATTTAGCATTTATATGAGAAACCAGTGATTTTATATGCAAATGTCAAGGAAATTTTTTTTCAGCTGAGGAGAAAAAATCCTCTTCATATTTCATGAATGCATAATTAATGGTGGGCTTCATATATTCTATTTTATTACCAGAAATTATAGGGGAGATCAGCGGGGCCTATGTAAAATGTTAAACCAGAGATTATTATCATATTATTATTGAAGTTGGAACATCCATGCCTGCAGAATAATTTTCTTAAATATAAAAGAAGAATTACTGATGTTGATCAGATTCTCCGTGAAATTCTCATCATTTTTGGAAAAAAATCAAATGAAAAATCTTCTAAAATATAGCGAGTGAATAAAATTCAATATTTTCATTAATTGTACGTTGAACGCGTGCTTTTAGATAAAAATCATGGGATTTTATAAAAACAATATAAACAATCAATTTTGTAAATCGATTTCTTACTTTAAAAAATAAGGTTTTCAAAACTTGAAACAATTTCAATTATTTACTTATAAACAACAAATGTTTAAAGACCTATCAATTTTGTACAAAATGTAATTTAAATGACGCTGAATACTCATGATTTTTTTCAATTATTTTTCACGCAATTTAATCGACAAATTTGATGATTAAAAATGATTGAATCTGTAGTATGGTCTGTACCAAACTGTAGGGATAGCCATATCCATAAATTTTATCTACCGCTAAATTATTGAATAGTCAATTAGTTATAATATCACTCTTAAATTTTAATTATTGAGGTAATCATCAATTTAAGTATTCAAATTCCGAATTTTATAATTAATCAGTAATTTAGTTAGAAAAATTGACAAATATTTGGATAATCAGAAATCCCTTATAAGAAATTTAGTAATAAATTTTTTCTTCTCGCATACCCGTTCGGGTCTTTACGGTTTGTTCCCTTCCCACGTCCCAACCCCCTGTACCGCATTTGCCGAAGGACAAGGGAAAACCTCATTTGAGGGAAAAACCTGCCCAGGTACAATTGAGACTCGCTCGACAATGAAATCGTGAGATTTAGAGTGTCACAAATTTTGGCCCCCCCAGCCGGGAGTCCAACCCGGGTCTCCCGCAGGCGAATCCCACACTCTAACCACAAAGCCACCGCCATCGGTAGAAATTTAGTATTATTTACTTAATAGAAAATTTATAGATCCATATTATTAAATATTTATTTCATCATCAATTGGAAATTTAGATTATCAATTATTTTACTATTATTCAATTTCGATTAGTAACTTTAAACCTTGACCAATGTAAGTCGGAAATTCTTTTAATAAATATTGAAGAATTGGAAGATTAATGGCCATCCCTGCCAAAAGCTTTTGCGGGATTTTTTTTGAACGTGTAGGGGAGAGTGGGGTAAAATGGACACTAGACTTTTGTTTTAATTACTCATAACTGAAAAAGAAATTTATGAATTGAGCTCAGTTAAGGCTCATCACAAAGGGAAAGAATTGTTCTTTGCAATGAAAAAAACTTATTAAATTTTATCAACATTTCAACCCGTCATTAACATTTTAAAAAAAGTCAAGTGTCCAGTTAACCCCAACCACCCCTACGTCCAACGATGAAGTAGAGAATGGCATTACCGATAAAGTTATCAACATTCCTGACATCCCAACCAAACCCGCACTTCGTGTCAATTGGTGTCAATCCCGCCGCGTCTCGTAATCATCCACGTGGATGAAAAAAGTGGTAACATGAATGATTGATTCTACAAAATCATCATTACTAGTGTTAATTATCACCTGTTGACTCTCACCACCCCCCACCGGCAACCACCTGCACGAAAATGGCTGTAAGTTGTTGACACTCATTCCTCGCTCCAAACTGTCATTCATCCGCTCCAATTCACAAATTCGTTATTGTGTCAATTTTGAATAAAAACTCGAATGTCAGTCTCGGTGAATGATGAAATTTGACGTGATATTCCTGGTGCATTCGTCACGGTTTAAATCATCCTTACGTTTGAGTGACTAACCTTAAAAAAATTTGGACTCTGATCGTCTCATTTCGCCTCTATTTATTACGAATTTATTTATTTATTTTTACTTTTTCCTTTCAGCCGCCAACAAAGAGCACAAAAGTGGCGACGAGAGGAGCCAAACAAATTCTCGAGGAGAATGTTTCCACTTTGAATTTTTATAGGAACATGGTCTTCATTGCCTGCGGAGTTTATCTCGTTACTATGCTTGTATTTTTCTCGTTCACAACATTGACAATAGTAAGTCAAAATCAAATTAATCATTCATCGTTCATTTAAGTTCGTTGCCTCACATGCGAAAGATTCCAAGTTCAAATCCCGGCCGGGTAGAATGGTGCGATCTAACCATTTAAAGCGATGTAAAATAACGATAAAAAAAAATTAATCATTTTACATTCAGAGCCGAAAACAGATGTTCTTAACCCAGCAAACAGTATGTCGACAAATTGCCGAAGTCCTGTTAAATTTTAGATGGCACTGGCAAAAATTGTTTTCTGGAAAAAAAGTCTTGTTTGAACCACAAAAATCGCAAGTTGAAAATGAGACGAATGAAACATTCAAAACATTTTTCAACATTTGAAAATTGTGAGATATCAAATTTGTATCACAAAAATGGATTTAGTTGTTTGAAAAATTTGTTATTTTCTATGCAAGCGAGAAATTTAATTTCTACCACAATCTATTCATTATTGTACACTAAAATGTGCGTTTTTTGGGAACAAAGGGAGAGTCGTTTTTCGTATTAGTTATCCGGTACTCAAAGAATTCTTAAATAAAATAATAATGGAGATGTAACAGTAATCTTACAGCCCGGTGGTTTGGCGCAGTAAGTTCGTTGCCTCGCATACGAAAGATTCCGAGTTCAAAACTCGGCCAGGTAGAATGGTGACATCTAACCATTTAAAGTCTTGATCATCATCGCAGTATACCCCAGCTGGGTCGAAGCGATGTAAAATAACGATTAAAAAAAATAGTACTCTTTGAGAAGGGATTTTTCATGATTAACTTCACTTTATGAAATGTTTCGTTTTTTCAAAGCAGAGCAATTGCTCATGTTTGAAACTTCGTACGTTCTGTGGGCGATAATTAGCTTGCAATGTCTTTTAGTCAAGCCAGAAATGTTGCAAGAGTTCCCCCCCGTTTGGAATGAAATTATTTATCAACAATAACAAAATTTTAACAGACAAAATTTGACTTTCGTTTTGACTTTCCTTTTGTAAAAACAATTTTCTGTCAGCAATAATTTAATTAATTAATTTTCTATCAGTGATGAATAACTTTTTTTGACTTTTCAAATTTATCTTGCCTTGTTGCACTTGGAGTGTATTCATACTGCTTTAACCCTAGTCTGCTCACCAAACCCAACCCTGCGACTTGGTCACCTCCGCGGGGATTCGCCGCCGGGTTATTTAGGCTTTAGCGTTGCCGAATTCACTCTACACTACCCGGGCGCGTTTAATGAGGTTCCGGCAACGTCGCGTCATGGGCAATTTCATTTAAAGTAGCTCTACCCCTACGGCTGGACTCGTTGAGTGCTTTTGAAAAAAAAAAGATTCTAAAAATAATTTTTTTGATGTCTAAATTATTAAAATAATTTATAAAGAACATAAGCATAAGAATTATTTCGTTATTAGTTTTCAATAAAAGTATGAATAAATAGATTTTCAATTGACTAGCTTGGAAAAATTAGTGGCACCACTGTAGGATAATGTGACTGGTCAGAGAGGTGAGAGAGGTCCCGCCAAGTGACAGCTGACCGAGCCGTCATTGCCACGTTTACTCCTGCTCACAGTCTCCCGTGATTCTGGTTGAAAATTGTTAATAATAAAAAAAAACGATAAATCGTTATCTAACAGGTGCCAATATTTTTTATTATTTTTTTTATCGTTTTTAGGAAAAAAAATAAGATTTTAATCTTTGTTTTAATCGGAGCTGTGTCAAATTTAGCGTTTTTCACATAAGCCCCTGTGTTAAATAATGAATTTTCAACATTTTCATTTATAAAAGCTTGAACGACAATTAAATGAGGAAAAAAATTACGATTCCGAATCACACAGGTTTTTAGGCGATTTGTTGTAGTCTTTAAAAATCTTTGAATTGAAATATAACCTCCTAAGGATAGAGCTACTTTAACGTGAGAAAAAATAATCCATCTGTCCGAAATAATTTATTTTCTTTAGGAATTTTGGGAAATATGTTGTTATAAAAATTATAATATTTTTTAGACACTTCAATTGACAAAGTCAAATTTTTTTGAATGTTTCCGGTTAGCCAGTCGATTGTAATTAAAGAAAAACGATGCGGGGTTTCTCTCATAGGGTGACTAGTCTAGGTTCAACCCCTCACATACGGCGTCCATATAACGCGGCTTGTCCCAACGGGAGACTTACGGCGCGTCAACTCCGTTATTCAATGAGCGATAACTTGAAAACAGTTGAACGAAAAAAATTGAAATAAAATGCATTGACGGCATTGAACTTTGAAATAAACTCCCTAAGAACTTTTTTTTATTCCATAATTTCCTAATTTTTTACACCAATTTCGATGTCTGCCGACAATTGGTTACCGAAGTCTTCGAACACGCTAAATTTATTTATAACAAATAAATTATTCAATAAATCGAAATTTAACTTCTGCCATTCGATAGAAGGATCATTAAAGTATTTTCAGTAAACATTTCAAAATTTTTGGGGAAAAGTTTGTCGATAAACGAGATGATTTAATACGATTGAATCGGTTCGATGTAAAATCTTCATCTACAACTTTTGTTCATAGAGAAAAAAATAGTCCACTGCAGAGACAATTCCATTGACTTTCCAAATATCTTTCCCAAATGTCAATATGTCTCTTAGAATTCGAGAAAATAATTTTTTACTGTTGATGAAAAGGGTCGCTATCATGCATTGACCCCGGCCGATAGGACAAGCTTATGGGTCGATGCATGGTATCGACGCCGTACGTGAGCGGTTCAGGATGTACTACGCCCTTTCGGCCAAAATTCGCATTTTTTTCATTTCTCTGGCAAATTATTGATCGGATTGACACGAAATAATACGCACAGAAAAACCTAAACGTAAATTACGTTTATGAAGTCGTATTTTACGCTTTCGAAAACGTATTTTACGTTTGAAGTTAAAGCGTAAATTACGCTCAAAATCGCCGTAAATTACGATTACATAAACTTAATTTGCGATGATTATGAGCGTAATTTACGATTGCGAAATCGTAAATTACAATGATTATAAATCGTAAATTACACTCAAAACCGTCGTAAAATACAATCACATAGACGTAATTTACGATCTTGTAGTCGTAAATTACGCTCAAAGTTGCCGTAAATTACCATGATTTTTTCGTATTTTTGATAAACGTAATTTACGTTTCGATAAACGTAAAAGACGCTTTGTTTACACTGTTAAAAAATGTTGTCTCAATTTTCCGTGCCAAATTCTGGAAATTTTTATCGTGTTTCAATTCCACTGAAATTTCAGGAAATCTTGTCATTGAAAATTCAGAATCTCGTGGAAAAATAAAGCACTGTAAATTTCCGTTCCATTTTTCCTAAAAATGAATAGAAAACCAGAAAATTATGGTAAATATAATCTTGAATTTTCAGGATGTGACACTGAATGCGATTTAGGGGGAAAACAACTGGAAATTTGATGCAATTTAAGGGGATACTATTATGATTTTTAAAAGTCGTGGGATATTAGAGTGGGATTTCTCATGCATTGAAGATCGATTATACATGTCTTAAGACGAATAATTAGTGCAAAAAAACTAATTGTTTATTGTTCGTTTGCCCCGCAGATGCTTAAAATGTTGAAAATAGTCCAGGGCCTCCAATTGTTGACCGACAGAGGTTTTTTCAAAATTTTCGAAAAAATGTGTACAATAGCAATTACGAATTAGTTTTTTGAAATTCGACTCCTACACAGCTAATTCCGTTTTGTTTACTATAAAAATTTGCGCCATTCATGTAAAATAGGCAGAAAAATTATCCTTAAAATATTAAAAATATATTCTTGATTCTTTCAGAAATATTTTTCACGCTATTCTACATGAATGGTGCAATTTTTTTATTAAAATAATAATGAAATTAGCCGTGTAGGAGTTCAATTTAAAAAAACTAATTCGTAGTTGTTATTGTACATATTTTTTCAAAAATTTTGTGAAAAAAGAAACCTCTGTAGCTCAAACATTGGAGGCCCTGGACTATTTTCAACATTTTAAGCGTTTGCGGGGGAAACGAACAATAAACAAGTCTATATCTTCAATGTATGAGAAATCTCAGTCCAATAGCCCGCGACTTTTAAAACTCATCATAGTGGTCTCCCCTTAACAATGAATATTCTTATTAGATTGAAGAAATAAATTAAGGAATACTCGTCTTTATGCCCCTTAAAATTCTGTAATTTTACTGAATTTTCAGTGAAACCTGTAATTTCATGATTTTTTTCCCCTAAATCGCATTCAGTGTCACTGTCCTGAAAATTGATAGTCAACTGTCCATGAAATTTAATTTTTTTTTACCAGTGTAGGCATAATTTACGTTTTGCTAAACGTAAAATACGGTTTGTTTAGGCGTAATTTACGTTTTGATAAAAGTAAAATACGCTTCGTTTAGGCATAATTTACGTTTTGATGAACGTAAAATACGCTTTGTTTAGGCGTAATTTACATTTTTATTTCGACCGTAAAATACGTTTTCGTCACAAGGCCCGGTAAACCGCGATCTAACCGAGCGAGGCGAGTTTACGGGTCTTCTGACGAAAAATTGCATTCATCACAAGGTCCACAAAGTATTTTCTGACGAATGTGGCTTTATTGGCCGAACCGAAGGCGAGGCCTATAATCACATTAGTCAGAAAATACTTTGTGGACCTTGTGATGAAAATAACTATTTTTTAAAGCCTAAATTCCGATTTTCATGACGGAAAAAAGCCACCAGACATCATATTGACGTTAAGCGTAAATTACGTTTATCAAAACGTAATTTATATTTAGCAAAACGTAATTTACGTTTAGGTTTTTCTGTGTGTATATTGTTTTTGCGTTTTATCATTATTGACTGACTCACAAAGTTTCATGGTAGTGGAATCATTTTTCTGCATTTTTTCTAAAGTTTTGTGAATTTCCGAAAAGTTTTAGAAAAAACGCAGGAAAATGATTGCACGATCATGAAGTTTCGTGAGTCATTAAGTAATGATAAAACGCAAAAACGGTATATTTTTTCACGT